AGTGGTGTTCAAGCCGATTCCAACGCATCTATTTACGTAGTATTTAGTTCAAAACTCAAATGGCTTTGGACCAATTACTGGTGAGGAATCTGCCTAAAAATGGTAAATGTTATCGGAGGTCGCCTTAAACGTCGAAATATTAGGGGCTCTCAGACCCGTTTTAAAGCTCTAATTTGTGCGTTTCTGACAAGCCCAAAATCGCATGAAACGGAGCAGAACTCATGATGATAATATATATTTCAGATGTCTAATACAGGCCAAATAGTTTATGCTACAATTTGTGAGGTACTCCAAATTTTTCTACGCCGTAAATTGGATTGCATTCGCGTGAATAAAGCGATTAAAATAAGCCTACATAGAGGCCAAACGGTGTGATACTCGTGAAGTTATAGCTATGAGCTACCTAGAAAGTGTAAGTGTGAATTGATGGAAGTCGGTACGGTTGCGGGAAGTCACGTGCCACGCTCAACTCACATTTTCGAACTTAGACAACTTCAATTGTTACTACTACTACCAAAAAACAGGAAATTTCGGGAAATCATGGAAATAGCCAGGAAATTTCTGGTAACAACTGCAAATTTCATGGAAGGCTCGGAAATTGTTCAATAATTTTCCAATATGAACTTTATATTTGCTTGATTACATGGTGCCATCTACAATTGTGTATGCCCATCTCGAATGTCATGCTTTCTGTGAAAGACAGTGACAGGCGACAAACAACTTCAAGTCGCGAGACAATTCGTTTTAAGTCCGTTGAAACTCCGACATCATGTGATTATGTTGAACTTTTGAATTTCCCAACACGGAAATTCATTGTTCTTCCTTCCCACAATGTTCAACTTGTCCTCGACAAACGGTGTCCTCCCTCGTCGAGTTACAGCATCCTCCCTCCCTCGTTGACGAACCGCGTCCCTCGACGAACGGTGTCCTCCCTCGTCCATGAACGGTGTCCTCCCTCCCTTGAAGAACAGCATCCTCCCTCTCTTGAAGAACGGCTTCCTCCCCCCCTTGAAGAATGGCTCCCTGCCTCCCTTGAAGAACAGCTCGCTCCCGTGAAGAATGGCTTCCTCCCTTAAAGAAAAGATCCCTCCCTCATCGACGAACGGCTCCCTCGTCGACAAACGACTCCTCCCTCAACGAATGGCTCCCTCTCTCGGCAAACGGCTCCCTCCCTTGACGAAAGGCTCCCTCTTGACAAACAGCCCCCCTCCCTCGACAAACGGCTCCCCCGATGAACAGTGTCCTCCCTTGACGAACTGCTCCCTCACTCGTCGACGAACGGCATCCTCCGTCCCTTCTTGACTGACGGCGTTTCTCCCTCGACGAATGGTGTCCTCCCTCCCTCGTTGACAAACGGCGTCCTCCCTCTCTCGTTGATAAATGGTGTTCCCCCTGCCTTGAAGAACGGCGTCTTCCCTCGCTTGTCGACAAACGCATCTTCCCTCTGTTGTCGACGAACGGTGTCCTCCCTACCTCATTGATGAACGGCTCCCTCCCTTGAAGAACGGCGTCCTCCCTCCCTTGTCGACGAATGGCGTCCTCCCTCCTTTGAAG